GTTTCAGGATTGTTGTGTTCTCTGTTTGGCTTAGTTTTTCGGATCTTTGCTGTGGAGGGACAGCATGGTGCTTCTGTCTAGAGCGCCATTTTGCCAGAACTCATTAAGTCCTTTTTATGAAAATGTTTGCAGTATTTATTTCTTTTAAAATAATATAAAGATTTTTCTTTCTCTTTTATTGAGAACGTTATCAATTTCTGAAACATGATTCTTGTATAATTTTTCCAGAGTTAGTTAACCTTAGAATCTTAGATACTCAATAAATCTTAAAAAATGCCATTTGGAATTGTATCCAAAGTAAGAAGTCTCCTTTTGAACTTCTACTAAAATAGTTTAATAGTTTACGCTTTAATGTTTTGTATTGACACGGGCCAGAGATGAACCATTTCATTTTTGGCATATTTGTTTTCTTTCTTTCTGATTGAAAAGAATTAAACTTGTTTGTTATACCCATTCATTGTACAATTAATCTTCTCTCTTAGGTGATAGCTATATGATTAAGGCTATAGTATTCCTGATGATTCTCCTCAGTTAAAACAACTTTCATATGACAGTTTTCACATCCTCACCAACCTTTTAATCTTCTGTATGTTATCTGTTAAAATGTGGCACTCAGAATTGATGATAACATTAGAGATCTTACCAGACTAGTTTTTGGTGAGCTGATTATTGCTATTGATTTGTATAATATGTTTTATTAATTTGGGCCACAAGTGCTTTTTTAGTAGCCATATCTCATGGATGACACATTGACCTGTTGCCCGCTTAAACCTTTTAATCTTTTTGTAAGTAGTGTGCTGGTTGCTACACCATCTTGTATGTCTACGCTTGGCTTTTAAAATTATGGGCTGGACTGTATACTTGTTTCTGTTGTCTTTAACCCGTAAGTTTTGGTTCATTTAAAACTATTTTTGTTCATTTAAAAGCATTGAGATATTTAAATCCACATTCATTTTCTCTACCGTTTTTATGTCATTTAGCTACTTCAGTTAATTTTTGTTTTTTTGAATATATTTTTTTCATTCTGCTTTAGATGAAGATTTATAGAGCAGATTAGTTTCTCATTGAAGAATTAATACACATATTATGACATTGATCACCAACCCCACGATGTGTCAACACTCTCCCTTTCTTGGCCTTAGGTTCCCCATTTCCATTCGTCCAGGTTTCCTGTCCCTTCCTGTTTTCTCGTCCTCGCTCCTGTGCTAGTGTGCTTATTTAGTCTCGTGTACATGGTTGAGCTATGTGTATTATTGTTTGTTTCATAGGCCTGTCTAATCTTTGGATGAAGGGTGAACCTCAGGAGTGACTTCAGTACTGAATTAAAAGAGTGTCTGGGGTCAATTCTTCCGAGGTTTCTCCAGTATCTGTTCAGACCAGTAAGTCTGGTCTTTTTTTGTGAGTTAGAATTTTGTACATTTTTCTCCAGCTCTGTCCGGGACCCTCTATTGTGATCCCTGTCAGATTAGTTGGTGGTGGTAGCTGAGCACCGTCTAGTTGTGCTGGACTCAGTCTGGTGGAGGCTGTGGTAGTTCTGGTCCATTATAAGTTAACCTTTTAAACTGGAAAAAAAAAAAAATGTTAACTGAGAAAAGTTGCCTGTATTTAGTAAACCTAGAATATGAACAACAATGTAATATTTTAGCTAGGTACTTTTATCATAAAAGACTTTAATACTTATTTTAACATTAAAAAAATTAGTTACATGCCCATGATCATGAGCTCTCAATTTTATCAAGATTTAGGAATAGAGAATAATGTTACTGATCTGCACTAACTGATTTTTCAAATAATAAAAATTTAAAAAGCAGATACTGAGAACAAATCATATTGAACATTGTAGAAAATGACACTCTAATGGGAAGAAGTGCATCTAAACCCTCTACCTAGCTCTGAGGAACTTAGTTTACTCCTGATGATTTAACTGTTTATTTTCCTTCTTGATTTTTTTTTCAATAGATGTAAGGTTTATAGATATGCAAGCCACCACCTATAAATTATAGGATGTAGCTGATTTTTGCGAAGGGCATTGTTCATTCCCAGTACAAGATATTGTATTATTTTTATAGGCTTTTTTCATTTATAAACGTAAGAAATTTTGCTTTCTTAATACTTAGTATAGGAATCCCTGGGTGCTGCAAACACTCAACTGCTAACCAAAAGGTTGGTAGTTTGAACCCACCCAGAGGTGCCTTGGAAGAAAGGCCTAGAGATCTGGTAATTATATGGTTTGAATATTCAGTTGTTTTTAAGCTTTAAAAATTACCTAGATCTGCACTATTCAACATGGTAACCAGTAGCCACAGGTGTCTATTTAAATTCAAATAAAAATCAGAATGAAATAAAAATTGAAAATTCAGTTGTTTAGTCGCAGCAACCATGTTACAAGTGCTCAGTAGCCAGCCACACGTGTCTAGTGGCTAGTGTACTGAGCAGTGCAAATTATAGAACATTTTTATCATTGCAGAAAGTGCGCTATTGGATGATGCTGATCTAAATACAGATGATTGATTTTCATTCAAGTTTCTGACTAAATTCATCCTAAAGGTGGAATGAATCTTAGAAGAAAGCAAAAATGATTCTTAACTTTTACAAGAAGCAGTATAGATTACTTGTGAAAAATCTAGGTGTGTAGATAAGTAAAATGAACAAAATGAAAAGCAGTTTCTGTATGGCCTGACTCATTTTGTAATTTTAACATTTTATATGTTCTTTTTCTCTGCAACCGTGTGTAAACCACACGTTCATTCTTTATGGGGATGATTTTTACATGTGCACATTTACAATAAAAGAAACAAGCAAGGCTATAAAAGTAACCCTTTTTACTGGAAATATTTTTATTTTATAGAAGTTTATCTGAACTTCGTTCTAAATCTAAACTAGTATTTTCTGCCTATGTTTATCATTAGCCTTTTGACTAAAAATAGTATAAAAATACTGTTTTATTGTAGATTATTGCATGAGTTAGGAGTATCGGAAATTATTCCTCAGTTATTTATTTTGATTTAAATACACTCTTTTAGAATTGTGTTAGTATTTGTTTCTAACATCAAAATTTACTTAAAATAGCTTCACTGTGAAATAGTGACATGTAAGGTGCTTGGGAAACCTTATTTTGTCTTTTTGCTCGTCTTCATTTCATTTGATATCTGATTCTGTTAGCATCATCTTTGACCACCAAATCTAGCTTGTGGCTTTGTGTGAAAATAAGAATTTGTTTATCAAGCCTGAGTGTATGGGTCTGTGAATTTTAAATCTGCCCCTTTTGCTTTTTACATGGTGTTATGTTTCATAGCAATAAGATTTATGCATAGTATTAATTCTAAGTGTGTTTCTTTGTTTATGAGAAATGGAAAATATGCTATAGAATCCTTTTTTATCATGAAAACATATTTGCTTACAAATTAATATTAACTGGCAATGATTATCAAAGAGGAGTAGGAACCAGAAGTTCCTGAATATCTTGCTGAGGGTTAACAAAAAACGACAATAGCTACTTTAGTAAATGCTTTCTTTACAAGGTCATTATTAATTTTAAAAAGTCACTCATTTAATGTAAAACTAAAAATTCATACTGTAGCTTAATAATTTTGAAATTCTGTAATATTATAAAGCACTATAATAAATTATATTTTTATACTCTGCCAAATAAGAGCTGTATATGACTTAAATACAAGAGGATTTTGAAATTTTCTGCCTCCAAATTATAGTAATTTTGACCCTTCAGTATAGCATTCAGACTCTCTTAATTATAGGGAAACAGAATGATTAGTTTTCAGTGATTATGGTTTGGTACATATGCACATTTAGTTAGCTAAGAGTGGAATAGGAATAGGATGTTAAGGCTTTAAGGAGAGTACAGTCATTCCAGAATTCATCTTGTTTAGGATGGGTCTCTATACTTGTTGAGTATTTATGTATGTGCCTTGGATATGTAAATTTTAGGATATTCGTTTTGAAACTCTATCAAAGGCTGTATGTTGTACAGAAGAAGGAACACATCAAGGGATTCTAAGTGAGAATCTATCCCACATGACACTTTTTTATCCCAACAAAAGCACCTGAAGTGGTGAAGGATTTTTTTGATGATAATGGAAGTTTTTATGGGTACCAAACCTGGGAGAATTCCCGGGAGTGCACCCAGAGATTTGAGAAATCATACACATTTCTTTCTTTAGTGACCCCAGGACACGCATAACACAGGAACATTGTGGAATACTTAAGGGAAAGGAAAAGCTCCCTAGCATCTCCTGTAGCTAATGATACCTGGAATTTGTAGTCACAGCTCAGAACTCTGTTCTTTCTGTTGTTCTAGTAAGGTCTTCAGTTCTTCCAACTGCAGTATCCTGGATTAAAACATAAATTGATATCCTTATAATATACCTTTTTTTTCTGGGGATGAAATATGTATGTGTATGTGTTGGAGTCGGGGTAAGATTTGAAATAGGTGTTTGGAATAGGAGTTGGTGTGTTTAAAGTATATTGTGAGAAGGGAGAAGACAATTGAGAGGCAGTTTATGGTAATTTAAAACTACTGATAGAATTTCTGGCAAAAAGTAGCTGTTCATTATAAATTGTAGCTATTAAGGATACTGAGTCTATGAATTCTCACATAATTCAGTAAAGGTCTTCCTGCCTGTGGGAAATCTGGATAGTATTTGTATTTGAGAGCAGTTTTATTTATATTAATAGGGACCACAGTAATAATTTAGACTTACAGTTTATGAATAAAGTTATCAAAGTGCTGTTACATCTTATTTGGCAAGTACTATTTCTATTTTATAGATGGGAAAAGCACTCATTCCATAACTAGTGGCCCATTTAATAAATAGATAGGGAAGCTGTTCTTTTAAAGAATGCTGCATTGAATATATTTGACATAGAAGTGAAATATATTGATTTCTTGGCCAGTCGAATGGAGAATATATGCATTCTCTCAAAAAGGAAATGCAATTTAGGGTTTTGTCTTTTTCTTAAATGTTTGTATTTTTCATTTCTAGGCTGTTCGCTGCTACGAATCTCTAATCTTAAAAGCTGAAGGAAAAGTGGAGTCTGATTTCTTTTGTCAATTAGGTCACTTCAACCTCTTATTGGAAGATTATCCAAAAGGTAATTTTTTCTCTTTTGTTAATTATTGTTTGATTTACATATGCATTTAAAGTGACTGTAATTGTAGTGTATCTTTATCCAGGGGTATTACTGTTTTTTGGAGCCCTGGTGGTGCAGTGGTTAAGAGCATGGATGCTAACCAAAAGGTCGGCAGTTCGAATCCACCAGCTGCTCCTTGGAAGCCCTATGGGGTAGTTCTGCTGTCCTGTAAGGTCGCTATGAGTTGGAATCAACTCGATGGCAGCGGGTTGTTTTGGATTTTATTACCATTTTTATTTCTAGGAAATTGTAAGCTCATGAATGTAGTAAACAATGAGAAAGAAAAGTGGAATAGGTGATGTTAAAAAGAAAATTTCTACAAGATTAAATTTGTGTATGAGCTCATAAGCTTTATTTATAATTCATGAATTGGGGGGTAGCATCTGGTCTGGAAGTCATATGAGCTCCAAAGAGCGGTACAAAGCTGAAGGGTTTTTACGGGTGCAGACACACGGGGACAGGGATGCTGGTGGGCATTTTCTTATTTGGAATTAAGGGGAAATTTTGAACTAGGTTAAAATAAGCAGGCAAGTGCTAATTGGATTTCTGTTTCTGGGAGAGTCAGTTGATTGACTTAGGTTTCAGCTCCTGGGAAGGTTGGACATTTACAGGAAATAGAAACCAGCTAGGTTTCGATTTGCAGATGTGGGGCTCAGCAAAAGGGACGCAGTCTTGGACCTAGTATAATCAGGTTAACAATAGAAATGCGAGAATTTCATGTAACTCTGTGTAAATCATCAATAAATTGATCATTCCGTGAAACTGATAACCAACTACATGTGCAATGTGGTTTTGTCCTGCCTTGTGAAAATCCCTGCCATTTAAAGGTTCTATCTACTGTAGTAAAAAGTGAGCCAGTTTGATTTATATGTGGTCATTTTGTCCACATTGGCAGACGCTTTGGAAAAGAGAATACAAACTCAGCATTTCTCTTTTCTATTCTTTGTTCTGTGTGTAAAAGTTACTCATTTTAGCTAGATAATATTTCAATGAAAATCGGACTGTATACCCGTATTATATGTCGTAAAGGTAAATAATACAGAGAGCTGACCACATACGAGTTTGAGCCTTGAATAAAACAATTTTTTAAATTCATTTGAAAATTTTCCTTTAAGAAATAGGTGAGTTAAATAACTGAAGATACTGCCCAAAAAATAATAGAATATATATAACAAAGAAAGGTAAATAGTATAAGGTCTAGAGCCATGTGTTTGTTTTATTCTCATTTGTATTTCACTGCATGTAGCTTGGTACTTGACACTTGTATTAGTTGCTTAGGGCAGCTGTAACAAAAATACCACATGTGGGTGACTTTAAACAACAGAATGTATTGACTCACATTTTTGGAGGCTAGAAGTCCAAATTCAGGTTCTCAGCAGGGCTGTGCTGTCTCTGTTGGCTCCTGGTGACATTAAGCTTATAGGCCTTCACATGGTGTAGATCTTCACATGGTGTCTTCCCCCTGTATATTTTCTCTGTGTGTCTGTTTTCCCTTTTTAATCAGAAGGGATTAGGTTTAGGGCTCTCTGGTATGACCCCATTAACATAGCAAAGGTAACAGTCACAGGTGCAGGGGTTAGGACTTCAGCATATCTTTGGGAGGAGGGGATTCAGTTCAATCCATAAAAACACTTAATACTTAAGAAATATTACATGAATCCATTAATGATGGTGTTTTACCACCTAGAGGCAAATCTTTTTTTATATACATCTTTAGAGACTTTTCTGTTACTATGTTTTCAACATTTAAAAATTGAATTAAACTCTAACTTTCCTTAACCCGTTGTATCATGTTAATCTTTCCATCTCAAAAGCACGCTTTTTTTTTTTTAAAAAAAAGATGCGCTTCAAGTGAAAGTTTACAATTTAAGTTAGTCTCTCATACAAAAATTTATACATACGTTGTTATGTGACCCTAGTTGCTCTCTCTATACTGTGACAGCACACTCCTCCTTTCCACCCTGGATTTCTTGTGCCCATTGAACCAGCTCCTGACCCTCTCTGCCTTCTCATCTCGCCTCCGGACAGGAGCTGCCCATTTAGTCTCATATATGTACTTGAGCTAAGAAGCATACTCTTCACGAGTATCTTTTTATGTCCCATAGTCTAGTCTAATTTTTGTCTGAAGAGTTGGCCTCGGGAATGGTTTTAGTGTCGGGCTAACAGAGAGTCCAGGGGCCATGTCTTCTGGGGTCCCTCCAGTCTGAGTCAAACCCTTAAGTCTGGTCTTTTTACTAGAATTTGAGTTCTGCACCCAACTTTTCTCCTGCTCCGGCAGGGACTCTCTGTTGTGTTCCCTGTCATGGTCGGTCACTGGTGGTAGCCAGGCACCATCTAGTTCTGGTCTCAGGCTGATGAAGTCTCTGGTTTATGTGACCCTTTCTGTGTCTTGGGCTGATACTTTCCTTGTATCTTTGGTGTTCTTCATTCTCCTTTGCTCCAGGTGGGTTGGGACCAATTGATGCATCTTAGATGGCCGCTCGCTAGCTTTTAAGACCCCAGACACCACTCACCAAAGCAAAAACACTTTCATAACGTTTCAATTATTGCATAATAGTCTACCATTAAAAAAAAGAAAAAAGAAAAACAAAGCCCATTGCCGTCAAGTTGATTTTGACTCATAGCGACCTTATAGAACAGAGTAGAACTGCCTCGTAGGGTTTCCAAGGAGAAGCTGGTGGATTCAAACTGCCGACCTTTTGGTAGCAGCTGAATACTTAATCACTATGCCACCAGGGCTCCATTCTACCATATAGGTAGAACAATTCCTGTTAAACATGTAGACTTTTTTTTTTTTTTTTTTTTGCTGTTAACGTTATCACTGTGTTGTTTATCCTTGTAGTTAAATGTTTGTACATATCCACGTTTATATTCTTAGAAGGAATGCCTTGTGATACTGGCCTCACTGAGTGATATGTATATTTTAAAACTTTTAACAGGTAGTGCTAAATTGTCCTATTAAAAGATGTTACTGGTTTATATTTTCATAGTAGTGCAATGAAACTGTCTATTTTCTTGAATTCTTCCCACTGTTGGGTATTTCCATTACCACTACTGTGTATTACTATTATTATTTAACTTCATCATTTTCATATATGAAAAATCGTGCAGCACGATTATGAAGTTAAAGGACAAATGCCTTATGTGTAGTACCCTCTTCCAACTGCATAGCTTATTCTTTTTTTCTTGATAATCTCCTCGTTTGATTCTCCTCCTCCTATTTCTGTGAGATAAAGGACAGAATAAAAGAATGTGTGAGAGAGTACAGAACCCTTAAGTTGTTGTAATAGTTCAATTTAACTTGTCTCTCATAGTTTTTTTTTTTGCATTTAGTTTTTCAGACCCACCTCCTTTGTTAGTACATTGCTAGTTTTCTGTGCTCCTTTTAATTCATCGTAGTTTTCTTTTTTATTTAAAAAAACTAAATGAGCTTATTTCAAAACAAAATAAAACTCAGAAAAGAATTATGAAAAAATAGTGGGAAGTGTGTCATAAATAAAATTGGCTCCAAGGGTTAAAGAGGTCTAAGCATTGGAAAGAGATTGATAGAGGGTTAATCTCAAAATGTTTGGTAACATCATGGTTAATTGGAAAAAGAAAATGGCAATTTTGCCTAAAGTAATGTTAAAAGGATTTCCTGGTGGGATGAACAAGGACTTCTTGAGCAAGTAAAGAACCCAGGGATTACAAAGTCAAGTTTATATGATTTAGGGTCTTCCAGAGGAAGAACCCAGTTAGACATTTGCTACAGTCATTATGAAAAACAGGTTTAAAGCATTATAAGGATATCCAAACAGATGATTTCTTTCATTCTCTATTAAGGTCTTTAGAAAAGTCTAGTTACAGTGGGATTAGGAATTTTTTTCATGAGTAGGTAATTGACTTAAAGATTAGAAATACCGACAATGTTATGGATAAAAGGATTTCACTAGAGAGACCCTGGTGATGAGAACTTGTATAGCCTTTAGAGTTTTAATGATTATGTGGAATAGGAAACACAAAATATGTTACATTCTTTCTTAAGATGCCAAGCCTAATAGGAGTAGAATATAATTGTTGAGAAAATGTGTAAATAAGTGGAAAGATAACAAATATTCTTGGAAGAAATGACTCACTTACAAATCTGTGCCTAGTTTGGAGTATCTACTTTTGTGACTTTGAATTTGAGGGTTCACATTTATTTCTCAGTTCACCATACCGTTGTATGGATACCACATTTCTCCCAATTGGTAATCACACAACTTCTTGTACTTTAGTTTCGTTTACTTTGGAGGACTTCATACGATCTCTTTAAGGACTCCCCCAAGGTTCTAAAAAGGAATTTTAAGAAGCCGTGTAATACACCCACTCCTTGCTTATAGACGTGGTTAGCTTCCAAAGACCAGGTCGTTATGCAAAAATCGGTGGCATGTAGAAATGGAGGATGATTAAATCATTACATAACTGCCAAACCACTGAGAATCATGGTCTAGCCAAGTTGACACCTGACCTTAACCATCACAGCCAGCATTGCTCTTGCCTCGCACCTCAGCATTTGTTGCTGCCAGATGTACGTTGTTAATGCACAAATAGTTGGATAGTAGATTTTTTACTATTGTAAATATGAAATGTTGGGTAACGAAATAGTTGATGAGTGAGGAATAGGTGTATATATTTTTAATCATATTATTCAAAACATGCCCTCCAAATTTGTTGAAATTCCATAATACCATTAAAACGGCAATCTAGCTTCCACCAGACTGAGTTCAGCACAACTAGAGGGTGCCTGGCTACCACCACCGACTGACCTGACAGGGATCACAGTAGAGGGTCCTGGACAGAGCTGGAGAAAAATGTAGAACAAAATTCTTAACTCACAAAAAAAGACCAGACTTACTGGTCTGGCAGAGACTGGAGAACCTCCAAAAGTATGGCCCTTGGACACCCTTTTTACTCAGTACTGAAGTCGTTCCTGAGGTTTA